AATAATAATAATAATAATAATAATAATAATAATAATAATAATAATAATAATAATAATAATAATAATAATAATAAAATAATATAAAAAATCAAATATGTAGTAACAATAATAACTGTAAAAGCTTACCCTAAAATTCAAATATTGCTTTTTATCAAGTTTTAAAAACTCATGCCACTAAACATCCTTTTTATTTTTTTTTGGGCTTCTTTGTAATATTTATATTCATTAAGTTTAAATGGATTCATTGTAGACCCTTTTGGAAACTATAAAAATTTATGTATTAACTAGTACAAAATAAAAATACATAAAAAAAAAAATAGTAAATAACCTGTTCATTAATTACACCACGTAGAGCACTATGTGCATCTAGAAGTAAATCTGCAAGGAAAGGTTTAATTGCAATTAATACAGAATATAATCGATGGCGTTGCTCATAGCTTAGTGAATTAGGTAAAGTTGGATCTTTGTCAAATAATTCAAGAAAGAACTGATGATGCTGCTCAATACTAAAAGTATGAATATTTATTAAAAAATTGTTTTGTAGCATTTTTATAATAGGATCCAATTATAAATAGTAACTTATACACTTTTTTAATATTCGCAAAAGAAAATAGAAAATGTAAGAAAAAGAAAACAATAGGTAAATTTTATTTATGCTTAATCATTAACATATCAGTTTTAAATATTATTGATTTTTTTTGTGATCAAAGTGTATAATTATTTGAATAAATAGCAACATACAATATAAGAAATAACTTTTTCTTTTTTTATTATAATAAAATTATTTCTTATATAAATAGATAAAGTTCTTTGTACATGTGTTTGATATCTTCGAGAATCAGATAATCATAGCAAATTAGTTAATAGATCAATCTGAGCAAGACATTTATTAAAACAAAAAACAACTTGGCCTAATTTAACAAATATACCTGCTCAACAACAACATCTAATCACTTCTATTTCTTCAGCAGTTGGATCAATATCATTATCTACCCACCCAGTAATATTATTATTATATAACAGTCAAGAGCCAGATGACTTAGGATACTATGAAACTATAGAAGAAAAAAAGACTTTTAGTAATAATAGTAAATATGATGAGGAAGATTACAAAGATTATAATGAGAAAGATTGTGAAAATTATAATAAAGAGTATAATGAGGAGTATAATGAGAAGTATAATGAGGAGTATAATGAGGATTATAATGAGGAGTATAATGAAGAGTATAATGAGAAGCATAATGAGGAGTATAATAAGAAGTATAATGAGAAGTATAATGAGAAGTATTCTGAGGCATGCGATGAGGAAGATAATAGAAAAGCTAGTGA